CTGTTCTGACCGAGTTCTTAAGGGGCTAATTCTGGCTGTTGGGCTGCGAGCGAAGGGGGCCAGGGCTGTGATCCAAACGGAATCACGTCTAAGTGACTTTCGGACCTCTGTCTTGAGGTCCAGCTTCAGCGGGAATTGTCAGTGCTTGTTTAAATAAGAGAAATGTTTTAATTAGTTCGAGACATGGATGTCATGAGGCAGGGAGCGTCCCAAAGAGAGTGACTCCACACACTGGCGTCTTTCCCCAGCGCCAGGCTCATTAGGGGAGACCTGCCCGATAAGCCGACAGCCACACACAGGTTACACGGAGAGGGAAGTATGTGCCGCAGAGGCGAGCAGAGCGAGCGTCCCGTGTGGAGGCTTGGAGCTGAGTTCTTACAGCCACAGGGCTGGGGTCCCACTCATATTGTCACCGACAGCCAAGGGGTCCGGCCGCCTGTCACCACCTGAGCCAATTCGGCAGAGACCGGGTTGGATCCTCTGTGAGCGTTTATTCCAGTCCTGCCGGCAGCAGGGGGAGCAGCAGGCCGCCCACAGACATCTGCTCTGCCCCCCCATATGCCAGCTGCTTATATGGGGTAGAAGGACAAAGATTACATGGGTAAGTGGGCAAAAGGGCGCGCCAAAGGGGCAGTTCACAGGTAACAGGGGCTGGGGATTTGTAAAGGCCCGTGGGTGGGTGGTTGTGCAAAGGCCCGTGGGCGTGCAAAGGCCCGTGGGCGTGCAAAGGCTGGGGGTCTACAGAGGGCTGGCGGCTCTGGTTTCTGCAACAGGTTGTTGATCTTTCCATGGCCACAGGCAGCTCCCGGCTGGGGAGGATGGGCCGCATTTCCGGGTGAGCTCCCAAGGCCCACCTGACCTCCCAGCCCGGTGAGCATGTGCCTTCTTTAACCAGAACAACCCAGTCACGGCTAACGGAGCGGGACTGACATTTCTTAGTCCTCGCTGGGCCCCACACTCTGCTTCTGCCCCTACCATATCAGCGTCCAGGTGGATTCCCTATCCAAGCGTTCAGACCTACCGTTTGGGCTATTCCTGGCCCCTCCTAAGGGCATCCCCTTTACACCCCATTGCTTCAGTCTTGACATAGCACTTGACATGAGCAGTCATGGCTGACAGCGGCTCCATATTGATTGATTTGTCACGGTGTTCAGAAAGTCCCCTCCATTCTTGCTCTATATGTATACAGTCTATACAGTAGATCAAGGACCAGAGCAAACACAGACGAGTAGATAGTCTTTGCTTCAAAAAAGCACACCTTGGTTGTCTACTAATACATCACTATTAAAACTCAGTTACATTTCCTCTATTGTCATAACCACTTACAATCACCAGTCATTTAAGGAACGGAGATAAATACTGTAATTATGTAGACCTCATTATGTGAGTATTTAAAAAACCATTTTCTTCCCCAGAGTTGTAAAATGTTATGATAACTTGATTTATTGTTTTACTTTTTTTTCTGTTTCATTTTTAGGTTCAGAGAATATAAAATTATTGCAGGATAACTTGGAACCATATTGCTAAATATTCAAGCTATTGATTAAACATCTTTTAACCTAGACCAAATTGGTGGGGGGGCCTTTTCTCCAACATTATGGCCCAACTATTAATGTTTAGACACCCCGTTTCTTCCCTGTATGTAGTTTCCGGTATCATCCTGTTTTGTTCCAGTGTCATATTTACTTTTTAAAAAAATATATTTTATTGATTTTTACAGAGGGAGAGGGATAGAGAGTTAGAGACATCGATGAGAGAGAAACATCGATCAGCTGCCTCCTGCACATCCCCAACTGGGGATGTGACTGCAACCAAGGCACATGCCCTTGACCGGAATCGAACCTGGGACTCTTGAGTCCGCAGGCCGACGCTCTATCCACTGAGCCAAACCGGTCAGGGCATATTTACTTTTTTAAGTCTGGTAATCAAAACATGCATAAAGTTCAATTCTGTTGCAGTAAGCGTTCCAGTGATGGCGAACCTTTCGAGCTCGGCGTGTCAGCATTTTGAATGACCCTAACTTAACTCTGGTGCCGTGTCACATATAGAAATTTTTTGATATTTGCAACCATAGTAAAACACTTATATTTTTGATATTTATTTTATATATTTAAATGCCATTTAACAAAGAAAAATCAACGAAAAAAATGAGTTGGCGTGTCACCTCTGACACGCGTGTCATAGGTTCGCCATCACTGCGACAGTGTGAACGTTTGAGAACTTTGGTAAAAGCTCAGGTTACTGGCAGGATGACACGTCCCAGGCAGGGGCCTAAGGGAATTAGGGGGGACACGGACAGCAGCAGCCCTGGGTGCAAGCAGCACCGCCTTCCCACCCGGGCTCCCCCTCCAGGCCCCTCCCTCTCCCAGCTGCGAGGTGACCGGTCCCTGATGCAATGGATGCTCAGGGTGAGCCAACGAGCCATGGGCTCCGAGGCCTCCCTGCGGGCGCGGGCGCTGAAAGCAGGCGGTGGTGAAGCCAAAGGCGCGGACCACCGCTCCCTGCGCCATTGCTTCCGGCCGCTGTCCAGCCGGCCTTCCAAGGTGACAGCTGCCTAAGGGCACTGCACGGGGAGGCGGAGGGGTGCTCCGCAGTCATAGCTCATCCCCCGTTTCCCACGTGGCGCACCGTTATTTCCCCGCCTTTTCCTGTAAACGACACGCGTGCTCAGGGGCAGCCGGGACTTGCGCTCAGCCTCCCCGCAGGACACGCGCGCACACCGGGCGGAGCGGAGCGCAGCGCG